TTAACTGAAATCGCACTTTTGTGGGCGCGGTTTTGTCGGCGCATTGTGGGCGTGTTTATGACATTGCGGTTTTCTCGCTGCGGTTTCGTCAGTGCACTTTTGACGTGCGCGCATTTGTCGGGTCACGATTTTTGAGTAATTTATTAACAAGGAGAGAGCGAACCAACATCTTCCAGGGGGAACGTTTATGTGGAGAAGTAGTCATTCATTCATCAGATTAACACTTTCAGATTAGCACAAATGTCATTTCTAACTTGTAAAATCTCTGGACTAAGGAATTTGAATTAAATCAAGAATATCTGCAGTTACTGCGTCAGGCTTATCACATAGCTACCCTAACAACAGTTTTCCTCAAAGGCATTCTTCCTAAATTGTGCAAAACATGTACAATTTTCCTACTATAAAGCATGTCATGACACATGTTCTTTAATGGAAAGACAACAAGCATTGGCATATGTAAGACGTCTTTTCTTTTAGTATGTCCTTCATGTCGTAAGCTAAATGATCACTGCAATATTTGTAAGGCACAAAGAAATGTTTCCTACCTTAGGAGCTCTGGCATGTTTCCCACATCGAGCATCTTTCACAAAGCTGACATCTAACAGTTCGGATTCCTGCACCTGATATAAAAGGGAGGAAAAAGCCTCATGATTTATACTGTACTATACAAATGGTACAATTACTTCAATTCCACTGCATTTCTTTATATTAAATTACCGAAAATCAGCTTGCATGCAGGTTCTTAATAGGCCTAAGAAATGTCTAAGCTCAAAGCAAAGCTACCCGTAATTACAAATAATTATGACTATCCATCAGGCAGTTCAGAGACAAGAGAGTCTGTAATCCAGTTCATGTGGAAGTCACAAAGTGAAGGAAAGGCTGCTCTAAGAAACTGCCATCAAGCCCTCATTCTTACAGAAATGATGTTCTCGAGCACCGTGTTCTCCAGGAGATGCTGAAGTCCTACTGAAAATGTCAGTTGCCTGGATAACAAATTAATTTAAAAAGGGCTTTCAAACATGGTGTTGTAATTTGATTTAGAAATGCAACAACACTAGTCTACTGTGGCAGAGAAAACTAGCTGGGGTATCTCAAGGAGCTGCCTGGATTTCTTATTAGCTCAATAATTTGCCAAAGATCAGAGAAGTTTAATGAGTTCTAGTATTCTTCAACTATTGAATATTGGCAATGCCAACCACCCAGTGGTGGGTTGCTCATCCCGTTCCAACCNCAGAGAAGGCCCTCCCCCGGGTAGTAGCTATACATGTTGAGGAGGGTCAGAAAAGGTGCCCAAGGGTTAGGAGGGGATGTGAAAGAGGCATGATGCAGGATAGGGAGTGTCTCTGACAGACACTACGTTGGTCAGGGAAAGCACACAAGATGCCAAAAAGATGCACGAGAGGCACCACATTGGTTGAGAAGGGGTGCAAGGGGTATGCAAGAAATGCCACAAGGATTGGGGAGGATGTTGTGGACAATCCAGAGGGTTTTCGCACAAGTCAAGAAGAATGTGCAAGGGGTGCTGCACAGGTCAGGGTGCACAGGACCGTGCAAGAAGTACCTCTGTCAACTCATGAAGCATTGTCATGTTTGTTATAAGTTGCCATGGTGAGGAAAGGGAGGGAGCGCATTCCACACATATCTTCAGCTAGAGTCGGATCTCAGATTACTGCAGCAGGCATGTGAGGCATGCACTTCATTGGGGAATGTGATTTATGAAACAGACTGAGGGGAGGGAAGGAACAGGGGTAAACTTCAGCCATAATTCAAATGAGGTTAGATCTGACTGCCATGAGGTATTGCCAAAATGGTTTTCCTTTGAAATGTGGCTCGAGGTTCATGAATTAATTAGGGCATCTTTCGGAAACCTGACAACCCCACTCTTTGAGAAAGATGTGTGAGATATGGAGCAGGTCCGGTGCTCAGAGGTGCACGAATGCCTGGTATGGTGTAAGTGCAAAGAGGCAGGTGCACTGCTAGGAAAGACTCGTCCTATTAACTTTCTGAGGAAGCTGGCAGGGAAGATTGCAAACGGCAATCCTAGAATTGCAGGAAATTTGACAACCAGTCCTAAATGCAAAAGGATTGCCAAGGACGCAGGTCACACTCATATGACTACTGGGGTGCTGGGATGCCTGGAACTCTGAGGACCAGTTGTAGCTACCATTCATTCAGCACTTGGAATGATGGCTGACAAAATGATCATCAGTCAAGGGCTACCTGTATTTGGGATGCAAAAATACTGTATGTACCCTTCACTATTTTAAAAATAATGATATGCTAAAAAACACCTTTTATTTTTCACTTTTAGATACTATAAATCTTCTCATGCTATTCATTTTAAAATCAATAACAGGGAGAACTACTTTGATATTTATGTGCAAGCACCATAAACTGTCACTGAATTTTCAATTACACTTCCAGCCTTTTAAAAAGCTTTTTGCCACTGAAGTGAGTCCTTGGAAGAAGAGCAAAATGTCACAGAAATAGCTGTTAGCTAAATATCATATTCAGGTGCATGACCAGCTTCACACAAAGCTGCCATTTTTAATTAAGAAAAGGCCAAGAATGCTGCCTGTTTATTTATTTCAGAGTTGGGTTTTGCACAAATGCTATTAAGGGCATCTTTTTTGGGAGGAAGAAGATATGCAGATGTTAACGACCAGATAAAATACCACATGGCTCTCACCAAGACACTCAATTTAATATGTAGTAAATGCAACAATGTTTGACTTTAAATGAAATCTTGTACCAGATCAATTTTGCTGGAGTATAGCAGTATACAGTACCAATAAGAAAATACAGTAGTCTATAATAGCCAAACAGTATAATAGAAATAACAACATACACTGATGACTTGAGATTCATTCTCAAAAAACCCTTGAAGACCCAACATTTTACATCTTTCTGGAAGATTTAAGATTTGGGGCCATGCTTGCTTCATAATGATAAGCTGCTGGGGACCCTACCTTCCATCACATCGGGGATGGGATGGGAGTCCTCCTCCTCCTGCATCTCATGGCAGGTGGGTACTCTGAGAAGAAGCTCCCTAAGGGTCTGGATCAAATGGGCAGGTTTGATTTTTGAAAACATGGCCAGATCCTAAGCCATTAAAGGTAGTGACCAACCCCTTGGCTTGTATTCAGAAACAGGTCACCCGCAGGTCACCATTACCAGTTTGCCTGAACCGGTCCAAACCGGCTGAATACCACCACTGGATGTTATCTATAGTGATCCCCTCAAAAAGGGACAATAGCATACTTCCAGCTTCTCGTNGTTTGTTTTGGATATTCTATTTAATTTTTTTAACTTTTGTAATATGTGTTTTTTTTAATGTTGTACGCCGCCCTGAGTCCTTGGGAGAAAGGCGACATATAAATCCAATAAACCAAACCTTTTAAGTGCTGTAGACCAATGTTACATTTGTGCTCTTGTGCGTTCCAAAGCAATGGCACATTTGTAGTGAGTTCCCTCTTTTAGAAGTATGTCAGTATGAAACATCAAATGCAATCTTTTTCTCCTACAATCTTAGAACTGAAGCTCCTTTGATTTGCCAGTGTTTTGGAGCTTATTTTCTGGATTGGCATTGGCTATGAAACAATTAAATCTATTGAGATAAATGTATTTTATACACCTACCTGAACAATCCTAAGTACTTGAGGACTTAAGGACCTTGTCTTCCCACATTATGTCAAATAAGAAAGGTGGACAGGTATACAGCAAAGAATAAAAAAGCAATTCAGATTTTTTTAAATAACAAATCATTAAACACAAGGTGGTGACCGCTATTAACGGCATTCATTTCATAAATGCCCTGTTTCAGATCTCAGCTTTTGCTGCAGCTTTCCAATCTTCAGCCTACAGACATTTTTTAATTCCTATTTTTCATCCTATGCCTATTTAGCACTCCCTCCCACGCATGTAGCAGAATGCTGTACGTTGGCTGTTTATAGAGAATTATACGGTAAAAGTTAAAATTCCATTCCTAAAGTATATAAGATGCCATTCAAAGGAACTTTAATCCAGAGCATAATAATGCATGCTTATAAATCATGAGCCACTTTTTAAAATTGTCTGCTCAACCTCTAAATAGTGGAGGGTAATTTCTCATTCTTTACAACTTTGTGTTTTTTAAGTTTCCCTTTCTTGAACTCCCAAGGCACTCCGTGAAATTGTGTCATGTCACTTGAGAAAATGGCATTTGGAGATGAAGATAATCATCCTGTGGCAATATTAAGAGTGGAATTGCCTCAAAATATTCCATACATCCCCTACCATACATTCTTTATTATAAGGAATTATACCCCTCAGTTAATAAGCATAATTGATTTCCTACATGACTGTGTGGTAAGCAAGCTGCACCGTCAAGAACAGGTTCCTGGGCAAACTAACATAAATGGAACATGCTCCAAAAATTTTTACTTCTAACTAAGCATGTTAATAAATTTGAAAGAATGCATTTTTTTTCTAACTGCTTTCCACTCAGAATAATTTTCTAGGGAAATTAATAGAATATACTGCAAGAAAGTAAAACATGTAATATTAATAAGGTTCAGGCACAAGTGTGCTAGAAATAACTATGCAATCTCCGAGAGAGTCTGTTCAAATAGCGCAGTCTCAATCAAACAATAGTGATAGAAAATATCAAATGGTTCCTTCAATTTGACAAAATATGAATCATCCCATTCAAGTAGATCCACAAAGCACCAAATCATAGCACTTTACAGATTTGATGGCTTTGCTGAGGTTTCTGGGATAATTACAAGTTCATCTCCATGTAGGAGAGGTTGATGGCCCTTTGATATAAGTAGAAGACCAATGAAAATCACTATCACATTAAATTCTCTGTCTAAAAAACTTTTTAGGAGTGGCAATCCAAAGGCTTTTTGACCATTTCCCAGCTCTTAAAACGTTTTAATTTGGTTAGCCATAAACCTTAACTTTATTCTCATGGGTTAATAGGACAATACAATTCTGTGCTAGTTCTGCTAACACAACCGGAAGTTTAATTCGAGTTTTATCTGAGTAAGCACTCCTGGATCAAATCTTACATTTACATTTCACTGACATTTGGATCAAGGTTAAATTTTATAAAAATCAATGAGCTTCTGGTAATACTTATAAAAGTTGCCCTAAATGTATACTGCCTTTAATAATAAAACGTGACAAGGCGAGTAATGTTATTTGTTCATCTTTCCCTATGTCCAACCTCTTTCATTATTATTCCTTCATATTGATAATGGCATCTAGTTTGACTTGAGATCACCCTTGATTATATGACTGCATCACTGAATATCATAATCTTAAATCACAGGGCCACGAGCTGCCATTGTCCCCTAATTATGATGCTACCTAAGGCTAGAATATGTCATGCCGCTTTTTTAGATCTTTATATTTTTAATATACATAACGAGCAAGGAGTGTTGGATGATAATTGCTAAGTTGCTATTTGACCTCATTAGGATGTTGCAGAATTGTGCCATCTGATACATTCTAAAAGTGACACCTTCTAGGCTCGTTATTCTATAAATATGCCAGAGATTGTGGGTGTGCCTGACTCTTTTATGCATAAAAAGTAAAGGTTCCCCTGCATTTGCATGCTAGTCGTTTCCAGCTCTAG